CTCACTGAGATCTGTACTTACTGATGGACCTTGTGGATCAGCAAAATTTATTCCTGGGAGCTGTATCACAGATAAATATTAAAATTATCAGTCAAAAAATAAATAAAATAGATAACAGTAACATAAAAAATAGACAAAGTGACATTAAAGATAAAAAATAGGCAAAGTGAACTGAACATATGCTTATCTTGTTTACAATTACAATAAAACAATTAAAATGAGTTTCATTACTTTACTTTCTTTTAGTGTTTTGGGAGGTATGACCCAAGAGTTTGCAGTGGTCTTTTACTAACATGACTGCAATGTACTGGCAGGGGAATAAGGCACATCTATCATCTTTGCTCTGCAGAGTAGAAAGTAATGAATTTTGGAACTGGAACATATCTGGTTGGTTTGAACCCTGGCTCTGCCACTTAGTTTTTGTGTATTCCTGGGCAAATTTTGTAACTTCTCAAAATCTGTCTTCCTTTCTTTAAAAAGGCTGACAATATGTATTTTTATAGGATTGTAGGCAGGATGATATGGGGAAATGATAAATGCCCACAACATACTGGTCATGTGGTACCTTCCCTTTTTTAAATCATTGCACTTTTCTCTACATTCTTACAAGGTACTTTTTGTGTGGTTGTCATCTCTCTGTGAGAGAGATAATAACACAAAATCCTACTTGTTATGCTGAGGGATCAATTACTTTTCTCAGTCTTTCCAACACCAGAAAAGACCAGTGAGAGGAAACCTGGACTTTTCTGGGCTTCTATTCTATTTCGTATGGAAGTTTTCTTCTTTTGCAACTAAGAAACCCAGTTTTATAGGCACAGGATCTAAATCTCAGTTATGGAAGACTGATTAAGAATATATTTGTGGCCAAGAGCAGTGGTGCACTCCTGTAATCCCAGCACTTTGGGAGGCCAAGGTGGGCAGATCACGAGGTCAAGAGATCAAGACCATCCTGGCCAACATGGTGAAGCCTCGTCTTTACTAAAAATACAAAAATTAGCTGGCTGTGGTGTCATGTGCCTGTAGTCCCAACTACTTGGGAGGCTGAGGCAGGAGAATTGCTTGAACCCGGGAGGCAGAGGTTGCAGTGAGCCGAGATGGTGCTGCTGCACTCTAGCCTGGCAACAGAACAAGATTCTGTCTCAAAAAAAAAAAAAAAAAAGAATATGTAACATATATCATGTATTATGCCTGAAGGCTATGATTATTTAAAAGTGGCCTGCAAATTGGTTTTCTTTTATTAGGTTAGCTGGTGATTCTGATCTGACTTCAAGAGAAAGGAAGTACCTCAGGCTTTGGTGGCTTATCTGATGGTGCCACCTGCTGCGCAATCAGAGGCAGTTCTCCTTCCTGCAAGGGCAGCTGTCCCAGGTGAATTGGAGGCTGAAGTGCTTTCTGTGCTGTGGCCTGGTTGGCGATTCCAGCAGCGGACTGGAGGAAAGGTTTCAGTCCTGGCTGTTGAGGCTTCAAGGATGGCTGTGATGGGAGAGGTGGGGGATGCACAGGCAAAGAATATTCATACTGCAGAGAAATTTGAAAAGAGTGTCAGGAAGGGGTGGCTCATTAGACAATGGTGCCTAGAATTTCTAAACAAAGGGGTTGGGATGCTTTCTATCTGGAAGGGAAGCTAGGGGACTTGTCTTGAAGTTGCGTGTCCATAGGAAGCACCAGTGAGAGTTAATGTTGTTTGGGGAGGTCTTGTGTGTGCTTCCCCTGCCTCCTTTGGGAAGGACTTAGGAAGGTGAAGCTACCCGAACCTCCCGGTAGGATAAGTCATGTCCTTCTCTGGGTTCCCATAGCTGTCTGTCTGTATCCGTATCTTTATTTTACCACTTTTTCACTTGATGATAATTATTTGTTATAAATCTTTGTCCCCCAGTCAATGGAGAGAGAATGATATGTCTTGTTTTTCCTTATAGCCTCTGTACTTAGCACAGCTCCTAAGAAGTGCCTGGCCCATGGTGGCTGCCTAGTATATTTTTGGAGTTAATGAAAGGATAAAGGTAATTAATTAAAATACCAATCAAATTCTTGCATCATGGAGTCCACTTTGGAAACAACTAAGTGAAGAAACAGTCACCATTAACATAATTGATTGTTCTACTGAATGTGAGCAGGTGGTAATGCTCCTGCTGTGGAAGACCACCTGGAACTAAAATTCCCTGTTGATCTTGGTTATGAGTCATATATTAAACAAAAAAAATTCTCTGTTAAAACCACCATGTTTTGTTGCTTCTTCTAGAAATTACTTGTGGTGGATGGCTCCCTATTGCTTGTAGATTGATTGCAAACTCCTCAGATCAGCAAGGAAGTCTCACAAAAATTTGGGGCTCTGCTTTGCCTCTCCAGCCATCACCCCTCTCTGAGCTCTCCCAGTATTCATTACTCACATCTCACAATTCAGCAACTTAAAATATGTTGTCTCGTCCTATCTGAATCAGATGAGATATGAAATTTCACAGTCCTTGGAACCATTCTTAAATGTCTTCACTTTTACTACCAAACCACGATTTGGTTTATGTGTTTATTGGGCACCTAATCAATAATGGTTAACAGATTGATATATTTATTGACTTCTGTAGGGTTCATGGTGTTTTTTATTTTTAATTTTTTGAGACTGAGTCTCACTCTGTTGCCCAGGTTAGAGTGCAATGGCATAATCTCGGCTCCCTGCAGCCTCCACCTCCTGGCTTCAAGTGATTCTCTTGCGTCAGCCTCCTGAGAGTAGCTGAGATTACAGGCGCTTGCCACCATACCTGGCTAATTTTTGTATTTTTAGTAGAGATGGGATTTCACCATGTTGGCCAGGCTGGTCTCAAACTCCTGACCTCAAGTGATCCACTCACCTTGGCCTCCTAGAGTGCTGGGATTACAGGCATAAGCCACCACACTTGGCTATGGTATTTTAACCAGGATTATTGTCATCATTTGAAATTAGCCTTTGAGAAATTATTTAGAAAATCTTGATTCAAATGAAAATTGTCCAGGAAGTAGCCTGCTTTGATTTTTGAGGATTGTTTCCTGATATCTTTAATGTAGGTCTCATATTTTAGAGGTCATATCTTCCTATTTTAAATAAATATGCAAATAGTTTCAAATTAAAAATATTTTCTTAAGTACTAAAAACAGTTATAGGCTTCAATTTATTTGGCATGAGAATAATTTTACTAGAACTTGGCTATTGCTAATATATCACAACTTAAGGAAGGCAAGTAAGCAGAGGTTTTAAAGCCTGAGGTTTCAAACATATTGATGCTGTTCACTTACCTGTTGAGTTTCATGTTCCCTTGGTCTCATCCATGGAAAAGAGGAATGTGGCGGGAGGAGACCATGCATCCATAAAGAATTAAATGATTTCCCAAAGCCAAATCTAGAATACTAAAGACATGGATAAAAGAAAGACATGTTTATATTTAAATTTTAAATAGAACATGGGTTACATTTGGTTTTCATTTTCTAAAAAATCAGCAGATAGCATAAATATAGCAAAAGCAAAAGTGATGTTGGTTAATTTAAAATGAATAGGTAAGGCTGGGCATGGCGTCATGCCTGAAATCCTAGCACTTTGGGAGGTCGAGGCAGGTGAAGCACCTGAGGTCAGGAGTTCGAGATCAGCCTAGCCAATATGGTGAAACCCCGTCTCTACTAAAAAGCACAAAATTATGGCACATTGGCAGATGCCTGTAATCCCAGTTACTTGAGAGGCTGAGACAGGAAAATAGCTTGAATCCAGGAGGTGGAGGTTGCAGTGAACCAAGATCATGCTACTGCACTTCTGCCTGGGCAACAGAGCAAGACTCTAAAAATAAATAAATTAATAAATAAATTAAAAAAAAATCAAGTGGATAGGTAAACTCTTCCCTTCAATGAACTTAAATTTCATTTTGAGCTAGTCTGCAATATTTCCATAAACTTGTTTGAGATTTAGCTTTTTAAGCACTTGTGTTTTGTGCCATATAATGAAATTAATAATTCAGGAAAAGATCCTTTTTTTAACTAAATAAAATTCAATATTGTTTTTAGTTTTCCCTGTCACTCTATCTTACTTTGTTTTAGGCCCTCATTTACTTCTTTGCTTCCAATATTTAGGATATTGTCTATTCATAAACACATTTGATGAATTATAACGCTGCTGCTAATATGAACGCCACCACCACCATGAATACTTGCAATAAGAAATATGATTACCTGAGAAAGTGTATTTAATCCCTGCAAACTTCCCAACTGTCTCATTGTCTACCAAGAAAAAAAGGGGTTACTGTTTATCACCTATGCTGTGTTTGACACAACTGATTTCTCATGATATTTGACATTATTAACACAGTGTTTGGTGTAGATCAATTTAACAAAATGAAAGCAGACACAAATCATCACTGAAAGGTCAAAATGTTAAATTTGGTTCTGCCATTGTTATTATTATTGCGATCAAAATAATGCAGTTGCTTTTATCATTAAAGGAGAAAAAGATTTATTTAAGTGGGGTTTACAGTGAAACATAGGAAAATAGCTCATTCCATTGAAATATAAATGTAATTATAAGGACATTATTTCATTGACTCTTTTCTCCCCATTTAATTTACTTTGCCTTTTAAAAGTTCAGCCAGAAGAGGAATTTTAGAAAAACAAATGAAACAAGCTAATATAACTTTTACCTCCTTCCCAAACAATGTCTTTCAAAATAATAAATATAAAAACTATTGGAAGAAATGTTAAATGTCTGGATGGATTATCAAGAATGCTACCATTTTAACAGAAAGTCAGTTTAACTTTTTTCATGGGAAGAGATTTAGAATGTTTTGGATTGAGTTTAAGCTAAAAAGTAAGAAAAAAAAATTCCTCAGTGAAATTAGCTTTCATGTGAAATAAGCATCTAGCTCAAATAGGTGTTGATGACCCCCAGCTTGCCATGATACATGGAAATTTCACAAGAGCTTGTGAAAAATTTATAATCTTATAAATATATTTCTGTGTATAACTGTCAATATTTTATTGACATGACCAAGATTTCTGTTTTGCTGGGGTTTTCTAAACAGAATCTATATTATGTGAGAACTGCAATAAGACAAATATACCGTACAACTTATACAGGAAGTATCACAGTACAATGTTAATGCTACTTACCAGACTTATAAGAAATTAAATTTTGTATTGGTAATTTTTTTTTCATAAGAACTTTATCTCATAAGATAGTATAAGAAGCAGGATTAAAAATAAACTGTGAGTACAGATCAATGTATTTTAATCAGTGTAGTAATTTTATTAATGTACATATAATGTGTAAGGCATTAATTATTAATATAGCTTTGGTTTGCATAGAGACAATGTTCTAAAAACATCTGAGAGTTTGAAATTGCAGTAGAATTATAAGACAAAACTCTAGTAAATGTCATAACTTTTCTAGCACTCCTCAGGATAGTAGCCACAAACTTCTGGCTAGGAAAACTGAGAAACACACCATCCTATTTCTCCTGTATCACAAATATATCAGTGTAAAGTTAACATGTAAAAAAATCTGACAATACATACCTCAAGGCTCAAACTAGCCATACCCGGTGTTCCAGATCGCTGAGGAAACAACTGAATGAAAGTAAGAATAATTTTGAGTCTCATTGGTGCAAAACTTCCTTTGATGCTCATTGGGCATAGGCTATCCCTCCAGTACATAAGGGATACCTGAGGGGCCACCATTTTGGTTTATTACCCAAATGACTTGAGCACTTGGGCAGAATGAAGAAGAATGTAAGTTATTTTGGGGAATCAACATAGCATTTGATAACTTTGCTCCCACATGTATCATCATCCTTTGTCTCTATCTTAATGCTTCGTTGCTTTAAAAGCAAAATATGATTTAGAATTACACACAGGAGAAGTAGAATAAAGCAACAAAATAGAAAACTACTGGTACTTTATCTTCTTAAAAAATTACTGCAGAGAAAAGTAAAGGGGACAAACTCAGGCTGAATTTTCATGTGCTTTTGACAAACCTACATGATTTTGGTTTATGGGATGTGGCATGGAATCATGACATTGAGAAAAATCATGTGCAAAATCTAACTTGATTCCCACTCAAAGGGCTTCAGCAAATTCTCTATCATTTTTAATGAAGTATTATTTTATGCATAGGCATAGGATATCGCTTCAGTACATAAGGGCTACCTGAGAGGCTAATCTGTGTTTATACTTCGGGATCATATCAGGTTTTTTTTTCTTAAATAAAAAGCATTCTAGCACAAAATACTATTATACTTAATATATTCATTTAAAAGTTGTTCAAAAATATACCTATCTATTCAATTAGCTTTTCAAAATGTAAGGTATTTTTCTTTCCTTTTTTTTTTTTGAGACCAAGTTTCACTCTGTCGCCCAGGCTGGAGTGCAGTGGCACAGTCTTGGCTCACTGCAACCTCTGCCTGCTGGGTTCAAGCGATTTTCCTGCCTCAGCCTTCTGAGTAGCTGGGATTACAGGCACAAACCACCACCACATCTGCCTAACTTTTGTATTTTTAGTAGAGATGGGGTTTCTACTAAATTCTCAACTTGAGCTCAGGAGGTCAAGACAAGCCTGGGCAATGTAGTGAACCCCATCTCTATTTAAAAAAAATTAAAAAGGAGGTCGGGTGCAGTGGCTCATGTCTGTGTTCGCAGCACTTTGGGAGACTGAGGTGGGTGGATCACCTGAGGTCAGGAGTTTAGACCATCCAGGCCAACATGGTGAAACCCTGTCTCTACCAAAAAATACAAAAAAAATTAGCCAGGTATGGTGACAGGTGCCTATAATCCCAGCTACTTGGGAGGCTGAGGAAGGAGAATTGCTTGAACCCAGGAGGAGGAGGTTGCAATGAGTTGAGTCTGCGCCATTGCACTCCATCTTGGGCAACAGAACCAGACTGTCTCAAAAACAAAACAAAACAACAACAACAAAAAAGAAGACTAGAGGGAAGGGAAAGGCATTATAAATGTGTAGCAAATACTCTGGGTAGGGACAGAGGTTAGCTGTGTAGACAGGAAGAGTGATTGTGCATGTATGTGTGTATGTGGTGGATAGCTTGTTGAGAATTTAGGGATTGGTGAGAGCAGGACCTTCTCCCCCACTATTTGCCAGTACATAAATAAGACATCTTAGATCGAACGACAGAACAAAGTGTACTTTTCTTCCTATCTGCTGTAAGTCATAGCTTAAAGAATATTTACGTGAATGTATACAGTCAGGGGATACATTTCCCATTCAGAATGGAAAGGAGAACATCTGATTTGATAGGCAGTCAGTTGGCAGTAATAAACAATTATTCTCTTCCTCAGAGTGGACCCGATTGACTCAGGTGTGGATCAATATAGGTTCAAAGAATGCCAATGTATTAGACTGAAGATGACTGGCTGAGGCTGACCCCAATGTCAGTTTCATACAAAGGTAAGCCAGGGTGGCACCCTCAATTTTTCTTTCATTTAAAATTCATCTTGTGTGATGGAACAGAGACTCTATTTTTATTTGTGGAATTAAGGTTTTCATCATTATAATCAGTTTTCATCCTCTTTCTCCATTTCATCCTCTTTCTCTAAAACACTTTAAGAAAACAAATAGCTAACCATTTCTTTTAGGGAATTAAAATATTCTAAAGTTTATTTGAGGCCAACTGTGAGCTCCTGGAGACAAGAGATCATGTCTTACTTACTTTCATTTTTTCAATGCCCAGCACATTGCTGGATGCATGGCAGCTCCTCAGTATATATTTGCTAAATGCATACAGCAGCCAAATAAATTTTTGTGATAACAGAATTGCATGCTGTTGGCTGGAGTTCAGTGTTCAAAAGCTTGTGTTTGCATGAGATCATTTCAATATATACTAGAGTGGATCAGGTGTGGGACTGTAATACGAAATTAGTCCCATTGCTATGATATGTTTTGATTTAAGAAACTTCAGCTCTCAGTCACACAATTTCATGCTTACAAGGTAAATTTTCTAGTTAATTACTAGCTTCAAATGGAATTATCTAGCTCAGTTTTGTAACCATAGTAATTTGGCAGATTGTTCTTTTTGAAATGAAGAAAATGTACTTTTTTTTTCCAGAGAAATTTCCTCTTTCCATTTCAACTATATAATGATAGCAAGAAGTTGATGATAAAATTGTGCCATGCATTGTGGAGACTAAGTCTTTTAACTTTGAATGAGTAGAAAAAGATTTAGAAGTTGCCTTAAGACTATCTAAAATAAGTTTTTAGTAGAAATATCTCATGTTTCACTTATTGCTTTTTATTTTTATTTTTTAGACAAAATCTCACTCTGTCACCCAGCCTGGAGTGCAGTGGCGCAAGCTTGGCTCACTGCAACCTCTGCCTCCCAGGTTCAAGCAATTCTCCTGCCTTAGCCTCCTGAGTAGCTGGGATTACAGGCACACACCACTATGCCTGGCTAATTTTTGTATTTTTAGTAGAGATGGGTTTCACCATATTGGCCAGGCTAGTATTGAACTCTTTACCTCAGGGGGTCTGCCTGCCTCAGCCTCCTAAAGTGCTGAGATTACAGGCATGAGCCACTGCACCTGGCTATCACTTACTGCTTCTGGATGGCAAGACTGACATCTGGGCAACTATGGCTTTTGACTCAATAGGACTATACCACTGGATTAAATAAAGTGAATCTATGCGTGGACTCTCAGTCCATGTCCCTTCAGTGTTGTTTGGAGTCTGACACGTAGAAACCTCTTCTGGGACACACTCTAAAGACTGACTTACCGGCACTGCAAAACTCATTTCCAGAAGGCCTAGGATCAGTATCAGGTCCTTCATTTTGAAAAGTGGAATCTAAAATATAAGTTAGTTGGAGAATTAAATCAGATGAATTTTTATACAGAATGGTTGAAAGACAATTTTAAAAATGAGCCTGAGTCTCTGCTCTTCCAAAAACAATAGGCATAAAGGTTAGAAGAACAAAACAAAAACTGAATGTTACTAAACAACTGATTTGTATGTAGTAGTTTTCAAATGAATTAACAAGCAATTAAAAATTATCTAAGCACTTTTTAAATGGTGCTACAGCCTAAATAAATATGTAGGAACAACCTCCATGGATATTCTTAAAGTGCTATGTTTTATTTCATAAGATGAATTTTGAATTTAAAAATCCTTTCCACTAAGTAAAATATTGGTCTATAAGATATTATTCATAGAAGTTTATACTTTGCTTACCCTTTGGAACACATTTTGAAATGCATGTGAAATGTAATGGAACTAACAATCATTTTGCAGCAAACCTTTATTTGCAGGAATAGAGGGTATATCATTGCACCTTTAGGTACTCTATGTAACCATGTGAAAACTTATCTTTTCAAATGAGAGTAAATTGACTATTTTAATTTCCTTTGGTGTTAGTGGGAAATATGTCTCAAATTTAGTTTTCCTCTTCCTAAAATTAATTATCTTTTAAAATTTATTCTATAAATTCAAAAAGCTCTTTATTCTTACATGAATAGAGATCTGAATAGCCAAGAAATTTATTCATCTTTTAATATTTAAAAAAATTAGGCACTGTCACTAAGAATAAAAAATAGTAAAAAAAACCAAAAAAAACCAAAAAAAACCCCAAAAAACAAAATACAAAAAACCAGTCCAACGATAAAAGTCTTTTTTTTTTTCTTAGTTGAATGAGTATTAGGCATGTCATCTCTGGAACATGCTAATGGATTACAACAAGCAATAATTCAGCTACTGGTGACAAATGAAGATAAATCCTCTTTATAAAAGCTGTCTGGAGATAGGAAAAAAAGAATTTACAGGAAACACATGGAAATCACAAAATCCCATTTTACCTTAGATGCTGACATGCACTGTGCTCTCAGGGCCTGATGATGCCAAACAAGATAGTTCTAAGAAAAGAAGATTAAATTTTTTTTCAGGACTGTGCGTGGGACTTGCTCTGTACTTCTCAATCAGTGAAGATCAGGAACCTTTATTTAAAGTGCAAATCCACCAATCAAAGTGAAGGAAAATGGCAGGGGAGGGGGAAGGAATCTCTGCTCCTGCAATTAGTCTACACCCTTTTATTGCGTGCAGGGACATTGGCTCAGCAGGTTCTCATTACTTTTAATTGTACTACAGCCCCTGTACTTATTCAGAGAACTTGATAGCAGGAAAGGGAGTAAAGGAATAATGGACGTGGGCTCTGAAGACAATTATTTTGGTGAACTGGGGGAAATACATGTAAAATAGGTGCAAAACAGGCCATTATCTGTTTTGTGCTGGTTTTATCTGCAGATAAAGCTAGTGACCCAATGCTAGCATTCTTTAGATTTTCATTCCCCGGTTTGTTGTAGTGAAAGTAACTACCCTCCTTCCCCCCAGCACACACAAAGTCTAAAATGTTAGATGGATAATGAATGTGTGTGATTTCTTCCTTGAATTTCCTAGATATTTTCGTATCTGGAGATAATTGATTAGAAATAGCCAAGCTTTTGTGAGATACTACAATTGTACCCTCTGCTAGAATCACTTCGGGTAAACCTTTGGTGCATTTAAAAAAAATTTTGTGGGGACAGTGTCATAAATCTGAACATTCTCCGTGAGCCAAATCAATGGGCACAAGTGTCAGTTCACTCTTCAGATAGACAACATTTCCAGGCCTTAGTATCAAACCAGGGTAATAAGACATATTTGGATAACTTAAAAGGTTAACATCAATGCAAATAGGTTTTTCTCCATGTACAAATAGGTTTTTCTCTAATGTGGATTGAACATTAGCTGCTTTTGGTTCTCTGCCCATCCTTGTCTTTCCAAAGCTATGATTTCAGATATGATAGGGATAAGCATTTGAGATTAGTTTCTGAAGAAGGGATGAGTCAGTACACTCTTTAGGGAAGTAGGGATCTTGCCAATTACAGGGAACATTGAGGAAGCTGTTATTTTGCGAGAAAGATGTATCTAAACTCAAATGTAGGCCTAACAGCTTCAAATAATGTTATCTTAGAAGCTGCTTCTGAAAACCTCTGTTTTCCACTGATACCAGAATTATCTTTAGGATGCAAAGAAATGAAGAATGTGAATGTGTTTTGCAAACAGCAAAATGTTATTGAAATGAAAAATATTATTTTGCACACTCTCTTTGGTGCTTGATGCAGTCCCTTAATCTCCTTTGAGCCCCAGTTTCTTCTTCTGTTATGTAAGGATAATAATTCATGACCACAGGCTTGTCTTTTTTTTTTTTTTTTTTTAAGATGGAGTCTTACTCTGTTGCCCAGGCTGGAGTGCAATGGCACGATCTCAGCTCACTGCAACCTCTGTCTCCGGGGTTCAAGCCACTCTACTACCTCAGCCTCCTGAGTAGTTAGGATTACAGGCCCGCACCACCATGCCTGGCTGATTTTTTTTGTATTTTTAGTAGAGACGAGGTTTTCCCTTGTTGGCCAGGCTGGTCTTAAACTCCTGACCTCAGGTGATCTGCCTGACTTGACCTCCCAAAGTGCTGGGATTAGAGGCATGAGCCACCACACCTGGCCTGAGCCTGTCTTAAAGATTGGTGAGATGGTGAAGATGCAGCAGCAGCCATTTATTGTGGGCTGAATGAATGAGTCGATTGTCCTTTTGGTGGGAGGAACTACATGAAATATGAGACCACAAGAACACTGTGTGTGTGTGTGTGTGTGTGTGTGTGTGTGTGTGTGTGTGTGTTAGAGGAGGAGGTGTGCTGGGAGCAAGGTTCAGAAGCTCCAAGGAGGTAGAGGAGTGACCTGTTGGAGAATATTTTCTCCCTGTGGAAGTTGATGCTGAATCCATAGGAACGAGCTTCTTAGTTGGCTACTAAACTGGGAAATAATGTGTGTGTGTCTTCTAAAGTTTATAAGCATGATCATGATAATGATGTTTTGGTAGGATTCTTATGTTCTGCTTTGCTTTTTTTTTTTTTTTTTGAGACAGAGTTTCACTCTTGTTACCCAGGCTGGAGTGCAATGGCGCGATCTCGGCTCACCGCAACCTCCGCCTCCTGGGTTCAGGCAATTCTCCTGCCTCAGCCTCCTGAGTAGCTGGGATTACAGGCACACGCCACCATGCCCAGCTAATTTTTTGTAGTTTTTTAGTAGAGACGGGGTTTCACCATGTTGACCAGGATGGTCTCCATCTCTTGACCTCGTGATCCACCCGCCTCGGCCTCCCAAAGTGCTGGGATTACAGGCGTGAGCCACCGCGCCCGGCCCTCTGCTTTGCTTTTAAGCCAAATATCTAGTATATCATATACACTGTTGCTTCTTCCTTTTTTAAATGTCACACTCCATTCTGGCTTCTTGTCTTCCAGATGCTTATCTGGTAATTTGTTTCTCCTACAATATCCTGTACACCAACCAACACTAGACTTATCATCCTAAAACACTGGTTTTGGCATTTCACTGCCCTACTCAAAAACTGCATAAGGATCCCTAAGGCTATCAGTTAAAGTTCACCCTCTGTAACTAGACAATGAATTTAGCATTTCAGTTCACATTTCCAATCTTATTTCCCACTTTGTATGAAACATTGTGCATTCATATTGTAATAATTATTGTAATCAGTAGGAGTTGGTTTCATACTTTAGGCAAATAAACAGTTTTTTTGGTCTTATTTTATGGGATGTATGTTACTGGGAAAGTTGATAAATATAATATTAACATATCTTATGAAAAATGCTTTTTTTTTTTTTTTTTTTTTTTTTTAATGAGACAGAGTCTTGCTCTTTCACCAGGCTGGAGAGTGCAATGGCATGATCTTGGCTCACTGCAACCTCCGTCTCCCGGGTTCAAGAGATTCTCCTGCCTTAGCCTCCTGAGTAGCTGGGACTACAGGTGTGCACCACCACGACCAGCTAATCTCTTTGTATTTTTAGTAGAGACGGAGTTTCACCATGTTGGCTAGGCTGGTCACGAACTCCTGAGGCAGGTGATCTACCGGCCTCAGACTCCCAATATGCTGGGATTACAAGCAAGAGCCACTGCTCCCAGCCTCATATAGTATTTTTATCTGTGAAATGTAGTCTACCATAGGTCAACATTAATTTAATTAAATACAAAATATAAGGTCTTAGCACACTAGCTGGTAGCCAAGAAATGTTCAGTGATCATGAGTCATTATCATTCTTGTGAAAATGGAATATGAAGGCTAAAAATCCACTTCACATCTTTTCTCAGCTTTATTGAGGTATGATTGATATACAATAATTGCACATGTTTAATGTATATATCTTGATGAGTTTAGACATGTGCATATACCCTTGATACCAGCACTACACCTAAGGTAATAAACATATCCATTACTTCCAGAAATTTCCTTGAGTTCTTTTGTGTATGTGTGTGTGCCTTTTTTTTTGAATAGTAAGAACACTGAACAAGAAATCTATGCTCAATGTATTTTTAAGTGCACAATATAGTATTGTTAACTACGGGCACATTGTTGTACAGCAGATCTCTAGAACTTACTCATCTTGCATAACAGAACTTTAATACTCATTGAAGAACACCTTTCCATTTCTCCCTCCCCCCCAGCTTCTGGTAACCACTATTCTTTGCTTCTGTGAGTTTGTCTATTTTAGATACCTCATAAGTAGAATCATGAGTATCTGTCCTTTTGTGACTGTCTTATTTCACCTGGCAGAATGTCTTCTAGGTTCATCCATGTTATCACAAATGGCAGGACTTCCTTCTAAGGCTGAGTAATTTTCCATTGTATATATATTTTCCATTTTCTTAATCCAGTCTTCTGTCAGTGGACATGTGGGTCATTTCCATCTCTTGATTTGTGTAAATAATGCTGCAATGAACATAAAGGTTTTGCCTAGACTTTTTTCTTGCCTCGACTTTTTTCTTGCATCTTTACAACTTGTTTGCAAAGTCCCAGTCAAATTTTACCTCTTCTGTGACTCCTTCCCCCACTTGCCACTCCACTGTGATTTTTCCCTTCTCTGAATTCCAACTATGTGTCATTCATACACTACATTGTGACAGCTTGCCCATTAAAGATCTTTAACATTTACTTTGTATGTGGTCTTCTAACTTTCTGGATATAGCTTCCATGTCTAATATTCCTGTGAGGGAGAAACCACCCATTCCTCTAACTTGCTTCATCTGGTGTTCTATGTGCCTCATAAGATTAATAGCTAATATTTGAATAGCACTTACTTTGGACAGGTTTTTTTGACAGTTTTATATATATTAATTTATTTAATGCTCACAAGAACTTTAGGAAAGGTGATTCTTTCCCTTTTGATACATAATCTAACAAAACTATAGAGAGGTAAAGTAAATTGCCTGAAGTGACACAGTCAGTAAGCATTAAGTAGAATTCAGACTCAGGTATCTGGCACTGAATCCTTGCTTTTATGCACTATGTCAAAATGAATTAGTTACCCACTGGCAGATGACATGGACCAATCAATCACTGGCAGATGCAAAGAAGCATACCACACACACACCTGTCTATAGAGAATTTATCAGATATTTATAAAAGGAAGAGAGGTACACAAAGATAGTTAATGAAGCATACAATAAATCAATAACTTAATTAAAAAGCATGTATAATACCAAGAGACATAAACCCACATGAATTAACCTCCAAAATAAGAATGCTACAGAACAGTAGTTCTTAATTACTGGGAGAAAGGGTAGATATTAATTGTTCCAAGGAAAGAATCGAATGGAGTTTCATGCATTAAACTTCAGTAGAAGGGATCAAAGGCAGAGAGCATGGTCGTGTCAGGGAAAGGCTAACTTTTTTTTTCATTTGCATTTTACTTTTATTTATTTTTGCTTTAATAATGCATATTCTGTTCACACAAAATGTGCAAAGGACAGAAAGCAGGGGTTTAACTTCGCTGATGAAAAATCAAGCAGGAATGACATTTCTAGTTTCATGAATAACCTAAAACTAGGAGAAACTTAAAAGGCACACCTGGTACCAGAGAGCACGTCCAGCTTCACAGCTGTCTCCTCTTAGGATGGAAGGCCAATTTTTGAAGCTGCCTGATATGGTTTGGCTGTGTCCTCACCCAAATCTCATCTTGTTCCCATAATCCCCACGTGTCCTGGGAGGGACCTAGCGGGAGGTAATTGAATCGTGGGGTCAGTTACCTCCATGCTGTTCTTGTGATAGTAAGTTCTCATGAGACCTACT